TATTAAAATCTTGCTTTGCGACTTTAACGCCAGAGAAGGCAAAGAAGGTAACTTTTTTACCGGATCATACTATTCTTGAGCCCCCAGAGGTGATCTAGTGACTGATGTCCAGAGCATACTGAAATTGTGGAACACTTCTTCAACCTGCAGAATGGCATAAAGTATACCACTAGGAGATGGTGAACCCAATTCCCCAATCGATAACGATGGAGCGAACGTTCCATTGCGTGACCATGAAGAAGTTCGAATAACAATTATTCGTCTGAAGTTTTCTTCAGAGCCGGAGGCCGATCCTATTCAAATACGGTGACGAAGACCTGATAAGAGACATGCATCAGCTTCTTTGTAAAATATGGTCAGACGAAATAATGTCCGACATTAGGAATTTAAGTGTGCTCTACCAAACCACCAAAAAAGTAAACCCACCATCTGCACCAACTGCCTTCAATATGGAGAAAAGCCTTCTGAACAGTGCAACTAAAGTTGTATCGAAGTACTGTGGAAAAAAGTCTAGCCCACCGTCTTCTTCTTCTTTACTGGCGTAGAAACCACTTACGCCGTTATAGCCGAGTTAACAATAGCGCGTCAGGCGATCTCAATTGCCTACTTAGTCCGAAGTAGCACCCGTTGGCAAGAAATATCTTGCGTTGGATTTCCAAGCTGACATTGTTGGGGGTATTTACGCTTTTTCCAAGATAGACGAAATTATCTACGACTCCAAAGTTATGAGTGTCAACAGTGACGTGAGAGCCAAGTCGCGATGCGACGACTGTTTGTTTGATGAGAGGAGATATTTCGTCTTACCCTCGTTCACTGCCGGACCCATTTGTTTTGCTTCCTTGTCCAGTCTGGAGAAATCAGAACTAACGGCGCGGATGTTGAGGCCGATGATATCAATATCATCGGCATACGCTAACAGCTGTACACTGTTGTAGAAGGTGGTACTTTCTCTATTTAGTTCAGCAGCTCAAATTATTTTCTCCAGAAGCATGTTGAAGAAGTCGCCCGATAGGGAGTCGCCTTGTCTGAAACCTCGTTTGATACCGAACGGCTCTGAGAGGTCCTTCCCCATTCTGTCGGTGCTTTTTGTGTTGCACAACGTCAGTTTACGCAGCCGTATTAGTTTTGCGGGGATACCAAATTCAGACACGCGGCATAACGACATCTCCTTTTCGGGTTTGAAATCGACGAAGAGGTGGTGGGTGTCGATTTTTCTTCAAGGGTCTTTTCCAAAACTTGGCATAGGGTCCAATCAGTTTGTTGGCGGTGGTCTTTAATATTTCACACAATATACACTTATAGCGATATTGAAGAGTTTTATCCCACAGTAGTTGGCGCAGATTGTGGGGTCTTCTTTTTTGTGGTTTGGGCAAAGCACACTTACATTCTAATCGTTTTGCTTGCTTTCGTCCGACCTTATTTTACAAAGAAGCTGATGCATGCTCCTTATCAGTTCTTCGCCGCTGTGTTTGAATAGCTCAGCCGGCAATCTATCGGCCTCCCCACCAGACGGGTAATTGCTATTCGAACTTCTTCATGGTGCTACAATGGAACGTCTGCTTCTTCGCCATCGAATGGGAAATCTGATTTGTSTTCTGCTTTCACTGCGCTCATCCGATTTTTCATTGGGGGTTTTTTACGTGGGGGATTAGAAACCCAGTGCACACCCCGTACGGTTACTTTAGCTCGCTCGGTGAATGGGGATCAGAGAACTTTCCTCACTTGCGTGGACTTATACGCATGATGGGTTGTAGCTCTGGATAATCAAGCACTGACCGGATATTTACCATGTGAATATGCCGAAACTTGGAAAAGTCCCGTGAAAAGGGATTCGACACATACGACCTCTTAGTCGATTTCGAAGCTGCTTTTAACAGTAAGAAAATTGGCTGACTTTATGCCGTGATGTCTGAATTTGGTATCCTCGCAAAAATAAAACGGTCCTATAAACTGACATTGAGCAGGTTACAGATAAGACGACTCCCTTCCTTGCGGCTTCTTTAATTTACTCATTGTGAAAATAATTTGAGTTGCAGAACTAAATAGAAAAAAATACCATCTGCTAAAACAGTATACAGATGCTGGCGTACGTTGTTGATATTGATATCATTGCCCTTAACAACCGCGCCGTTAGTTCTGCTTTTTCAAGAAAAGATAAGAAAGCGAAGAAAATGGGTCTGGTAGTGAAGGAGGGCAGGAGGAAATAAGATATCTCGGGTATAGCGTGTTGCTGAGAAGGGGAAGTTTGTGGCCGGGAATTCTGAAAAGATCCCTGAGCTTTAGAACAATTAAAATTTAATTTTTTCACACTAGCATCAATCGAGTAAGCGGAGATAGTTAATAGAATTGGTGTAGACCTTGGGCTAGACGTCATAAGGCTGATATAATGAGTTCCTTATATAATCAATAAGAGAATAAACGAAGCAGGTATTTCCAATTCAAAATACTTTAACTTATATATAAGAAGGATATGAAGAAGATTTTTTTATACACTTCTGATATATGTGATATATGTAGATGAGTATAAATAATAATAAAGAAGGGTCAAGGCCACATCTGCAAAAAAATAAAATAGATTCCGTCGAGCGCCAGCAGTTTGCTGCAATGAGAATACGACGTTCAAAAATAAGGGAAAAAATAATAAAATTTTTGAAAATAAACAGAGAAGATCGTCTACAACAAAATTAATTGAAGATTTTAAAGAACAATAAGTATAAAGAAAACTTAACGTTAGACCTTTTAAATGCTGCCAGATGTTCGCAAAAGCTTTAAAGAAAGTGCAAAAGTTATTACGAGCGCAAAAAAACTTTAAAGGCTTATAAACTAGTGGACAATAAAGTCTTCTTCAGAAAAAGTTGCTTGCTTACCAGAGCCGCGTAGTTGTCAGAGCTTAAGGGCCAGACAAATTTAAAACTCGGAAAACTCGTGTTGAAAAGAGGCTTTGTTGAAATGATTTTTGTCTTTCTCAGCCTTTACAAGTCTTTATTCTGTTTATTCAGGTATTCTTTAATAAACTGTAAAAATCTGGACTGTTGCGCTAAAATTTTTATTGAAAGTAATTACAATATCCAGCGTAATTACATCTATTATCACAATTCGATCAACCGATGCTTGTGAGTATGGATGTATATAACATGAGCAGAGTGAAATGCAGAAAAACAAATTTTTAAACTCAAACTATTTCTTACATGTATTTAATTTCCAAAAGCTTAATTTAGCGTACTGCTTATGTACAAAATTGTACGTAAATCTTTGAGAAGTAAAGTTGGAAATTGGAAACTTTGAAATAGTAAAGCCAATACAACTTCACCTTGATATTGGTTCATGATTTTTTTATGACCACTCTTGTATGATTATAAAATTTAGGCATATTCTCTGGGAGTTGTATATATTGTGTATCAGTAATTGCATTTTACCAAAACCAATGCCTAAAAATTGTTCAGATAAACCTGATGCTTATGGATCATTTTGAAGTTTAATTATCACCTTAATATCAGGCATAGTTTACTGACATTTTGACAGAGATAAGATAGGAAAAGATTCTCTCTGAATTTCAATTGAATATCACATACATACTATACATTGACCGATATTTTCGGTGAAAAGTCAGCTACACATTCTGGGGCCCACTTATTCAGTTCTGGTGCTTTAACAGTTTTGGCATAACCTAAAGGCGTTATTTGTGCATAATTATATGCCGATATATCCATTGCTTTTTGGTTTGTATACCGGCAAGCGAAATAATTTAATGGGATTTAAAATAATGCTATGTGAGGAGTACTTAGACTCTGTCGTATAATTTTTCTCCGACTTTCATAAAGCTCTCTCATATCTTATTATCAATTTGTTCAGTGTCAATAGTTGGTGTTTAGTTATGAGTTTTTGCCAATGAACACGGATACCAAGGTTCATCAAGATTGCACGGACGGGCGGGTAGCCAGACAGTCACCGGAGAACCCAAATTTAATATGTATATTGAGTTGATGTGGAAAACGTTAACGTTGAAATTCTTTTCAACGATTAGACCAAGGTATAAGAAAATTCCTAAACCATATAGTTTTTAAGAAAACTGGTCCATTTAGTTTCATTTAAATATCACACACTTTTAGCAACCTGTTGTGGAGTATGTTATTGGCAGATAAAAGCAAACAGCTCGCATATAAAATAAATAATCCTCACTAATCGACGTATTCGGCATAAAACTTCTTAGAATTACGCAGATCATTATAAGTTTTATACAGGGGTTTGGGGATAGTAATTATCGATATTATCCATTTTTGCAAATAATTTCCTAACATCAATTGCGGGTTGGGCAAAGCTTTCAGCCATTTTCGACACAAAGATGCACTGTTATGTGTAAAATACGCCTTATATTTTTTATTGATAACAAGTATATTACTCACATAGTAGCTGATATATGCGGTATTACTTAGTTTCCCATAGATAAAATGCGGTATAATTTACCTAGATTTAACATAGATAAATTATTGAGTTTCCATATGAGTCTTTACCGCAAGTGTCGGTCAATATGTGAGTTAACTTAATAAAATTTAAATTGGTGTTTTTTCTTAACAGCTAGCACTGGATTTCATATAACTAATACCAACATTTACTCGTTAAATATTGGTGATGGTATGTAAGGTACCTTACTGAAACTCAGAGAGCATATTTTTCTGTTAGTAATACAAGTATATAATATATACCTATCAAAACTAGATATAATCTGGTCAATACTACGACTATTTTCTGTACACCTAACATAAGATTTTCAAACTTCCGGTTGGCTTTTGACTGTTTATAAGTCAATATGTAAAAAAAAGTGTAGCCAGGTCCTTCCATTGGCTGTGACGAGCAACTTAAAGAGTTTGTTCTTTGTTCGTTGAGAAAGGCCCTTTATAAGTTCAAAATAGCACCTGTTGGTAAGAGTTATTCTGCGTTGAATTTCGCAAAACTTTMAAGCATTATTCTGTTGACCACCTTGTAAAGTTCGTCGTACTCACATATTTCGGCCTCTTTTTTTGTCTGCAAATGCTTCTCGCTTCCCTCCTCGGTGTCTAGCCTATCCCGCACGTGTTGTGGTCCGTTGGTTCGTAACGTTGCGATGTAGGCAATATGTTTTTTCTCCACTGCGACAGGGCACTTCTCATCATACCAGATGTTCGTTTGTCATTCCCAAAACCAACGGTTTCGTTTGCAGCTGTACGTAATATCCTTGACAAACGAGAAAATTTAATTCGCATTAAGAAATGGTAATGCGTATAAAAATTTTATGAGGACAGACGGCAGAATTGGCAATTAAGACAGCTGATTGTGAAACTTGTTTAGGTATTAAAAAATAATAGTGAAATAAAAATGGATAACAGCAAATTATTAATGGCAATTTTAGAATTTTAGGAAAATCAATATATGTAAGTTTAACGAAAAAATTCGTTTATCATTTATTATATTAAAACATGATAAAAGCTATACTTGATTGTAACGCGAAAAGGGTGTGTGAAAATGTTAATAATATTTCAAAAATGGGTAGCAAACTGTGCGTTGTTTATTTTCTTTCATAAATATTCAAGTTTGTTTTTGTTAATATACTTGCACATAATTTAATTAGCAATATACAACTGCTTACCTTTGATGCTGTAAACGCAAAGGAGGCAGCAAACTTCAAGCGACATCTGTCGGAAAATAGAAAAAATCTGCCATTTTTGAGCAGTGTTGTCTACTCAAATTTGGTAAATTCAGCTAAATGCACGGAATTCTTGTGGATTACAAACTTGCATTAACATGGGTCGAATGCGGAGGTAAATGTAAAATAAGCCCGCTAATKCATATTAGCGCTGTCGTCTGTCAGGGCTATTAACATGGATTAAATTGGTCTAAAATATGCACTAAAGATAGCGACTATGCCAATTTAAACTTGTACAAAGTCATCTCAATGACCCTTTCGTGCATACACATAAACGCCACGTGATCGTACTCTCAGGCCCTTACCGAAAATATATCAAAAATTAAAACTGCAAAACTCGTATCTATCAATACTGCACATCTTTGAAAGGCCTTGAAGTAATTTACAAAACGACGCTATACAAGATTAGTAGATTATAACTGTTGAACACAATATCCAAGTGTGGGGGCAGCACACATGTGGGCAGCCTGTTTTCTCTCCGCTGCGACACGGCACTCCTCGTCGTACCAGCTGTTTTTTTTGCACTTTCCGAAAACCAATAGTTTTGGTTGCAGCTGTATGTAAGGAGTTTGAAATGCCGTACCACAGTTCCCTTATACCGAGTTGTTGACGAGTGCTCTCACAGAGCGGGAGTGCAAACTTAGTAGAAAGTTGTGATTGCAGCATCTCGACGTCGAACCTTCCTTGTGATTGATGGCGTGCGTTTTTTGCTGCACAGAGGCTGGTGCGAATCTTGGCTGCAATAAGATAGTGGTCCGAGCCGATGTTAGAACCTCAGCGAACACACTTCTAAAACACTGGAGACGTGTCTTCCGTCTATCACAACATGAACGATCCGGGGACAGCCAGGTAGCTCGATAAATATTCTTATGCTGGAATCAAGTAATACAGATAACCATATTTCGGGCCCGGCGAGGTCAATCAGCCTCAACCCATTTGGGAATATTTCGTCGTGGAGGCTGAATTTACCGATCGTAATGCCAAAGATACCTTCTTTGCCCACCCTGGCGTTAAAGTCGCTAAGCACGATTTTAACATCGTGGTGGGGGCAGCTCTCATAAATGTGTTCCAAGCACTCATAAAATTCATCTTTGGTCACATCGTCCTTCTCATCCGTCGGGGCGTGGGCGCAAATCAGCGATATGTCGAAGAACCTCGCTTTGATGCGGATTGTGGCTTGACGTTCATTCAACGGAGCGAATGATAGTTCTCGGTGACGGCTTCTCCCTCCCACCACGAATCCCAGAGCGAATATGCGCTCTTTTATATGGCCACTGTAGTAAATGCCATAAAGACCTACTCGCCTTAGTCCTTGTCCCGTGCATCGCATTTCTGGGACGGCGGTGATGTCAGCCATCAACCGGCTGGGGAGCGGCACCGTCCCAATTAAGGAACCGGACATAAGGAAAAGCAAAGCTCGGGTATAAGCGAACATTTCATACTCTTTCAATTTGCAAGTATTGAAGGCATGGTAATACTTTAAAGTAAATAAGTCTGGTTAGTTACATATATTGGTCTATATTAACCCCATTCAACCTATTTGTACCAAATATGCGTATTATTGATCGGAAAGTATGCGAATTTCAATTATATATCTCATACATTGAGCAGAATTTTTGGTAAAAGGTCAACTATAGTCCATGAGCCCACATATTCGTTAACTAGGGGATTGGACAGTTTTGAATCCATTTATACAATTTTTGGTCAAAGGCATTACTCGTGCAAAAATTTTTTCCGTTATATTAATTGCTTTGCATACAGGAAAGTTAAAGAATCAAGTGGAATTCAAAATTATGTTATATAGGAAGTTGACATAGTTGTAGTCCGATTTCACTCATATCCACGTTGTTACATAGGGATGTTAGTAGAGAAATGTGATTTCACCAAAAAGTGGGCAGTTCCACATCCATCGTCTAATTTTTGCAATGGCCCCATAAAGCCCTCTCATACCGGAGGTATATTTAAATGCCTCTGAGGCATTTAGTTATTGATTTATTGCGCTTTTGTCATCCAATTTCATCTATTTTCACACTGTCGGTAGAAGTTCGTATAATCTTTGCGCTAGGTTTCACTTTGGTTGCATATACATATATATATACATACATATATATATATATTTTACTTAATGGAGGGCAAGACCACGCTAATTTTTTTAAAACTGTTTACTCTTAGGTGCCTATTTTTACTGCTCCTAAATTACTGTTTTAAAGCGAATAGTTCAAATTATCTTAATTTAGAGCTTAGTTGTAGCACTTTATAGGTCTTCTGTTAATGGCGTTTTGTGGAAGTGGTACAATCACGTCCTCTACGTACTCGTAGTTTTTTTTTTTTTTTTAGAAGACGCATACCAAATTTCATAATTTCATCGATTGTTACTCAAGTTACAGCTATCACGGGAGTTATGTCAATTTCCCATTCCAATAAGTCGTTCAACTCGCTTCCCATAAATTTGGAAACGAAACGAACGAACGAAACTACAGACCGATCAAATTTACAAACTCAATTGTTTACTTGCACAGCAACTTTGTAGAATAACCATTCATTATGTTTTTTATACTACAACCCAAATTCATTGATCACTGCAATAGTAATTCGATACTTTAATTTTTGTTTATTTTAATAATTTTGTGCAATGATCGATTTCCTTGAATTAATCGATTTTACAAAGATGTGCATAAGTTCAACTCATTATGCTGAGTCCACAGTCGCAAATTTAAGAACTATATAAGTAATTTTTAAAGAAAGTTTGAAAATTAATTTTTATAGAAAGTTTGTTAGTTCTTGAGCAGCAACCGAACTGTAAGTTGCCCAATAAATAAAAATTTTAAAATTTAATTTTTCGTTCGGCCGTAATTACAGTTAAAATCAGTCACCTAGATTTCAACTTGTCCCTTCATCCTGATCATTTATAAACATACATATATTTGTCTCGCTTAATTTTATGTGATATGTACAACCGTTAGGTAAACCAAGTTATTATACTCTTCAGCAATCTGTTACAAGAATATAAAAACTGTCACTGTAATTAAAGAAACAATGAAAAATAACAGTAATCCATTTTATTCCAGTCACTCTGATCGCTGAAAATTTCCAAAATTTCCACACCTGACCTCTTGTTTACTTTCCCCACCCGAAATGTATGGAAATATAATAATAAACATTGTATTGTACAACTTATTTTTATGAGGAATAGTGTTTTTATTTTATGAAAATTATGAATTAAATATACTTCTACTTGGTATCTTATTAACTTATCCGTACAATCCCTATATCACTATATCTAATACTAGCAGCCCGTCCCGGCTTCGCACGGATAACATAAAGACATTTTTTATTGTATTCTCTGTCTCATATACCCAAGAATATGAAGAGTGATATATACATAGTATATGTATGCACGCTCCTTATGGTACTCCCAACAACAGCATTGCGATATTTTCATGCTTCAATTTTTACTTTCGCAATGTGTATGCTTTTGCGTTTTGCCGTCGGCATTTCCATATTGGCATGTAAAAATAATTATGATATGAGTATAATTTTGTATGAATCCATGCATAGTACTATTTACAGTCAATTTGGACTTCAATATTTAATAATTTTATTTGATTTTTACATAATATACTATACTAATAGTAGTAATAGAAATTGAATTTATCACAACAATAATAAATACATACATACATATATCGGCTTATTATTTGCTCATATGTATACGCATGTGCGCGTTCAATCTGCTTGTTCATACATTCATATATACTTATATGTACATACATACATATGTATATTTGTATAATGTAATGTAAATAATGTAAGTATTGAAAAAAAAAAATGTTTTTTCGTTTCGCTACGCGCGGTAGAAATGAAACACAACGTGTTGGTTTGAGTCGGTACTCCGGTGCTCGCTGGTCACCTTCTGAATATCTTCTGAATACCCTCTGATCTTTATTAGTCAATTCACTTATATGTGTATATTGTAAGAATATAATTCTATATGTAACGGCTTATTACCAAAAATGCTTTGGCATTACATTAAGTGATGAAATGCCAGAGCATTAAATTTCCAATTCATCAAATTCAAATCATTATCACAACAAATAATGGAATATTGAATTATGCTTACTTACCAAAACAAATGACATATTAATTTCTTATTAACTAAAGTATTCTGCTGACCAAGCAGTAATACTGTGGGAAGACACAATTTGCTTACATTTGTCGTAAAGTGTCTGTGTGGCTCCTACTGTTAACTTGCATACATACATATGCGTACACATGTGAATATGTCACCAACAAAAAAATTAAGCATTGTTCTACAAAAACAACAATTGTCTAAATAGCAGAAGCATCAAAAGTCAATATGGCAGCMGAATTGGCGAAGCCCAAATGTGGTAAATTTTACAACAAAAACGATTTCATTCATAAACGCAGGCACAAATTCTACAAGCGACCTCGCTTCATTCATAAAAACAGACGTCGTAACATCTCCCCGAGCATGSCTTTGCCAACAAGCGTCTTTTCGCGACGATGGCAAAAGATAAAAATCATAAATTGAACAACTTTCTGATGCTTCTTCACAGAAAGAAGTCATAAAAGTGGCAACAACTGAGTTTTCGATTTATAATATTTGTCCATTCTAGAATATTTTTCCGTGATTCGCAAAAATCTGGGTCGATTTGTATGCAAGCTCATATATATGCATACATGTTTATGCTAGTTTGTAGGCGAAGCTGTTACAGCGGCAAGGGAAGCGATCAATAGGCGGCCATTCGTTTATTTTTTTCGGCACAGCTTGGATTTTCTATCATAACACAAGTGCTGAACCAATGCGCGCGACCGATATTAGAATACACACGTTCTTAGGGACACGGGTTTGAGACAGCTGCACAACTACATAACTGTGTCCCTAAGAACGTGTGTATTTTAATATTTGACAGATGTCGYTTGCAGTCTGTCGTGCTGATTGTGTTCAGCACTTGACTCTTTG